TTCAGATAAATTAGACAACATAGTGAATGACAAAATTTAATTCAGTGTGCCACAAACACAAAAAGTAACGATATACGTATGTAAACATAAACAAAAGTGTGCAATGCATCTTGGTTGAAAACATTCTTTAATTTACATTATTCATCATTTTCAACAATTGTCTCCAATTCAATTTTATTATCATCATCTTCTTCATCAACAGCAATTTTTTCGTATTTTTCAGACTCTTCAGACTCAGAGCAATACTTGACATACAACAGAAATATGATCGACATGATTAAAGTGGACACAGCAATGGCAAGGAGCGTTTTTTGTTTGCCGATTGAGTGAAACAGAAGGCCCAGGAGTGACGCTCCACTATCGAGTCCGAACATAAAGCACATTTCTTCGATCCCTACGATTGAGAAAGCATTTTCGAAATTTCTCCAAGAAACGTATAATTTTACAGGTTGCATATGCGCTAAGTAGAGCAAGATATGTTGTCAAATTTTTCGGTGGAAAAAATTGATTGCTTATTGAAGTAGAAATTTTTCAACTTTGTGCATTTCGTCCATTAAAAGCACGTGCGACCTGGAAAATTATATATTCCGTGGAGATTTTCTTAAGTGGAAACGATAACCCTAACACTAACCCTGTCCTTAACCCCGTTTGGAAGACTAAAACTAAATTTAATAGCTCCTTATGTGCTTCTAACGATCTAAATGTGTTTCTTGCCAAAATAACTAGACGAGCCTGCGCTCTCCATGCAAGTACCTCTTGTATCCGCTAAACTGAAGTTTAGCTAAATACTAATTGGTAATGAAGTGCAGGTCAATCAAGAGTGAATATCTAAATGAATTCAATTGTGAAAATATTTACCTAGCAGTAATCCAATATTAGCATTAGATCCAATCTTGGATAAGCGAATAGTTAACGCATTGTAAGCTAATCCAAATCCAACACTATGTAAAATATCGATTGCAAGAACATACCAATACACACGAACAAATGATAAAGCCAGGAATGCAGCAGTAAAGAGAAAGAATCCAATGGAGACTGTCGGTAATTCACCTAATTTTTGCATGACCTTGCACGACTTAAATATACACACTGCCAACAGTGGTCGACGAACTAAGCCTGCTCCTACCATGACTAGAGGACTTGCTTCTAATCCATCCAAATACCAAAACTCCCAGAAAGATTGGAAAGAAACGCATACCCCAATATAAAATACCAAAATGAATATATAAACATTATGGCCATTTGAAAAAACATTAGATACACCGCTCCAGTTGACTTTGCGGTCAGTGTCATCGTACTTAAACACAAAGTGAGCCAAAGAGAATTTCGATAAGACAATGAAAAATGCAGATATGATAAAAACAGTAAAATAACCGTAACTTTCACGGTCACAAATTTTTATTCTTACGATCCATGACGTAACACCACTCAAAACCAACAGCGTACTTGCACCAATATGTTTCCAGGCGAAATATAGACCATAACTATTTCTGTTTTCAGCAAGATATGATAAAGTTGCAGCACTTATTAATGGAAACAGGATGCCTTCCAACAATGTTAGGGACGATCTATATGCAGTCATCACTACGTATATATTACTGAGCCATGGAACGCGGTTGTTATGAACTGAAGAGTTTGTTCCATTTACTACAATAAAAACAATGAAACATTCACAGTCTTGGGTTTCAGAGAGAGGGGTGTATTAATATATTATTGTTATATATCAAAAGAAAACAATGGATTTCAAAATTTCAAGGGAACCTAATACAACATAACATGTGCATATATGAATGCAAGCCTTCACAATTATCGATCTTTCTAGAACATTTTTACCAGGCCCCACTGATTTCGTGTTATGTCTTTAGGTAAAACGTTCATTGTTTAATCAAATGTTCTGTTGTGCTTGACTGATTACTATTGAGAAGGTGAATTGGTTTTCAAAAGATATCAGTCGGGCACAACTAAATACATGCACAACCTTCCTCGCGAAATCTACGTTCTAACGCCGAACTTAATGGCCCTAAAGCATTCCTTATTTTTGCAGGAAATTTGCATTGCTCTTAGGGCCTGTTCATATGAGCCCGGGTAGCCGGGATTCAGCGAAGCGTTTAATCATTTTAGCAAATGGAAAAGATTAATTCCTTCACAACAAAAAAGTTATTTAAGCAATTTCCCTATGTTCTGAATTTGTAAATTCACAAAACCTTTAAAATGAAAACAAATAATTAGGCCAGATTTGAAAATTACAATTAAAATGACTCATGACTTATAAGAAAGATTGTAAGTTTTGCGTTTCAAGTTTTTACTCCTTTCAATACCTCAAAATCATTTCACGCCTCACTGAATCCCGGTTTAGCTGGGCTTATGTGAACAGCCCCTTAGAATCATGCTAATACGAAAATACACTGCGTATTATGTCAGGACTGGAGTTCTTTTGACGTCGAAAGTGAGCGTTCTAACGGCCTCTTCTCAATGTCTATGCTCAATTAAACAGCTTGTAAATTTGTTGCACTGTATCAATTTCTCTTTACCAGTAATACACACCCTCTCAATTTGCAGGAATGCTTTTTATACACAGCACTATTATCCTTATAAAGTAAATGGTTTGAACCCGGAGTATCGTTATATGTTTGTAAATGATGATCGTCCAGGTTAATAAAGTCCTGAGAAGGACTGTTTTTGTTGTTGTTGACTGACGTTTCGACAACCTTAGCGGTAGTCATCTTCAGAGTCAAAAGTATCTTACCTCCATCCATTTCACTTTGCAACGTACCATAACATGTAGGCAGAGAATAAGCAAGCGGGAGTAGTGGTAGCAAACAGCTTGCAACAGCAGCAAATGACGCAATCCACATGGTCAAGATCCTCACTTGATATCGATCGGCAATATGAAGTACCAAAGGTATGAACAAATGTTGAACACCAAACAAATTAGAAAAACCAATTTGTTTCGAATTGAAATGAAATTGTTTCATATACACGTAAAAGAACTCGTTGTTTATACTAAAACTACTCGAGGCGAAGAAATACCATTTAATCGCTATTGATTTTACGTTGAAATTCGACTTCATACTAACTTCACAAACGTTCGCGAATGGAACATAAACAGATGGTATGTGGGAAGATTAAATGCTAAATTATATTTAAGTGACTAACCATGCACGACAAATCAGTGAAGTATAACTCTACTCGCATTTGATCACATAAATAATTTGAGTAGATTTTAACATTGAACGAGGAACGAAACTCTCACACCTGAAAATGATGGGGTTAAAACGTGGACTTTGGTTTTAAACTTGTTCTATTCAGAATGCCATGTCTAGTCTGGTCAATCCTGCAACTATATATTATGATCGAGTGTCAATGTTGTCTTACATCATAACATATATCATAATATATAATGGGATTTTGAGATGCTATTTTAAAGTGAAACTATTTTCAATACTGCTATTTCAAATGACCCATACGTACACCATTTATTTTATCACGCAAATACGCTTGCTTTTATCTACAGAGGCAATTGGATCAACTTCATAATGATTTATAAGACTATAGCATTTACAAATAAATGACATTTATGGACCCTTACAAAACTCCCAATACGAATTCCTATTAAAATTTCCTATAGGATCCTATTGGAAGTTGGCCCATGAGCCTATTGGAACAACCTACAGGATTCCGTAGGAAGATATAGGAATTCCTATAAGAATTCTTACAAAGAATTCCTTTAGAAATTCTACAAGCATTCCTATAGGAATTCTTACAAGATGAAATCCTACAAGAATTCATACAAGAATTCCTACAACAATTGCTATAAGACATAGAGCAAGAATTTCTCGAAGAATTTCTACTCGAACTCCTATAAAAATTCTAGAAAAACTCGCATAAGAATTTCTACAAAGGCTAAAGGAGTTCTTACAAAATACAGCAAAACATAATAGGATTTTTAATAAGATCCCACACAGTACATTTCGGTGGACAACAATTACCCTACTAGTAAGGATAAACAAAGTTTTACAAAACAACCCATTTTTCGAAGTAAATTCTAATATGGGGTGAAAATTATCTGAGTTGCGTACATATTTTATATTTTACGAATCTGAACCTACTACTTAAATTATAGTTTCATTTATCATAACTTTGAAAATGACAGTGTATTTTCTAAAACAGTTTGTGAATATCTCTTGTCATGCTCGAAATATTGAAGTTTTTGTAATGTCCGATCTATACAACTTTCTACGTCATTTTGCATAATGAGTCTCTGGAAAGTTTTCAACATCTTTTATATTCAAGTCAACTTTTGGTTGAAATGATCATGCAAGTTTTTTACTATCAACTCTACACAATTAAGGGAACTCTGTTCTGTTGAGGTAATATATTGGCAAGTATACACGCTATTTCAAATTCTATTATGCAAAATGGCGTCTCGACATGTGCAACCCTCGTCTTGCACTGATCTGCTCTAGAGTTCTCCCAAAGGTCTGTTCGGTTTGCATAAGCCCGTGCAAACACAGTAAACATCTTTTATTTCTTATAATTACAAACAAACACAATGAAACGCGTGCGCTCATTGGTCTAGAGCTCTGTTTGCATAAGCTTGTGCAACTGATTGCACTGTTGCACTGATCTGCTCTCGAGTTTTCCCAAAGGTATCCTCGGTTTGCATAAGCCCATGCAAACACAATAAACATCTTTTATTTCTTAAATCACAGCACGGTTTTTCGTGCATTCGACCAATCAGCGCCCATGTTTTTAAAAGGCTATTTTATAATTTAGCATATAACACAAATCAAGAACACAACACAAACTACTTATTTTTAGCAAAACATAGTAATGAGAGGGAAAATTCACAAAGCTCAAACATTTTTTAAAAAAACCTGTTAATATTTATTGCTGGGTTGCACTTCTTTTAAGGTGACTGAAAACAACGTACGTGGCTCGCCACGTCAGCATACAGGGAAAATTCACAAGGCTCATACATTTTAAAAACCTTTATTATTTATTGCTGGGTTGCACTCATCTTAAGGTGACTGAAAACAACGTACGTGGCTCGCCCACGTCAGCATACAGGAGATGCAAATAGCATAGATAAAATATTCTTTTGTATCAGACCACCAACATGGCTAACATAAAAATTAAGAATGACCGAGACGATTTCGGTTTGCTTTCGTTATCAGTTTGCAAAACCGTTCCTTCTTAATACACGACGAAATGTTGTTAGGATCAATACAATATTGGGGTGAAATTGGTGGACGATGAAGGAGGGCTAGTAGTAGATATTGTTGTTTTTAGATTTGACATAATTCATTGGGCTCACAGGTTTTGAATTTATTGTCGAAAACTATATACTCGTGCAAAGGAAAGTTAATTGAAATTGCTAGACTTGCTGTCAAGGACCATATATACTCGTGCAAAAATAGTTTAGTTGACTTGTCTTGAAGAACGATACTGGTGCAAAATTAATTTACTTTAAAGTATATGCTGAGTTATTGTATCTTCAAGTGAAATACATGAATAAGCTTCTTCAACAATATACGTCCATATGACCATTCCAATATTGTATACCTTTTTTATGTGAAAAGGTTTTAGTTTGAAATTTAAGTTACCATTTGATGATATTTGTCTTTTCTATTTACTAAATGAGCTACGCGAACGAGCAAGCTCGGTAAAACTGTCATCTAAATCAGGCTCAATTATTGACATTTTACTGACCAAATTAGTAAACATTCTAGGTGTTGTTCCATTATTTCGCACATTTTGTTGCGATGAAACTTGCTGTCGAAGGTTAGGCAATCGACCATCGACTGATACAGAATGACGTTTGATGTTTGCGTTGTCCGTGTGAGTTGATCTTGTGGTCTTTAAAATATTTTCTTTCCCAGTCTCTCGACGTTTTTTCTCTTCAGCAGATAATCCAAACAACTTTTCAAATGTTTCATACAGCAGTTTTGCTTTTTGCTTATCTTCACAAAGCAATATATGAGCCTTGACATTCAGTTCGTTTTGCTCGCGAGCAATCATGATGAAGTACCGAGCGAACTCCTCTCTTGTTGTAGAATATACGATATCACGGATATTTGAGATCCGGAAACTTTTTAAAACTTGACCTTCTTTGTTATACAGCACTGCACCACATAAATCGATCACCATTCTAAGCTTACTGCCGTTCTCGCTGGAGAAAAGCAGCATTAAGTCGGAATATATCTTAGTGAAATTCCTGTCTGTAATGGAAGAGGCGTTATCAGACTCTTTATCAATACTTGTGGAACCGATAACTTTTACAACAAATTGAGAACCTGCCGCAACCGAATCACTTTCGTAGTTTTCTTGCAAACTCATGAATCGGCGTCGTCGCCAAGATGCCATTTGTCAAAAAGGATTCTACAAGTGTAAATAATCGAGTTCCGTTAGTAGAATGTAAAGCAATTAAATAAGTAATCGTACAAAAATAAACCCTCTTTGTACGTCAAGGAAGTAGTAGAAGCAGGTTGTTCGAACTTTGATGCACAATAATTTGTAGACTTAGTACTATAACTACCTTCTATATACACATTGAACAATATGTCAAGTACAGAACTTCTTAATTGTATTACCACTTGAAATTTGACTACAGCAAGGACTGGCTTGTTCCTACCAGGAAAATGACAAAGCTTCTTTATAATGCAAGAAAATTTGGATTATTTTGACGCTATGTTGCTACACGCAGAGCAAAATCACTAAGCGTTCAGCAACAGCTAAATTACATACATGACACCTCCACTTTGTCCATGCATTTTTTGTTTTGACTATTATCTATTTATGTATGCAAATTTTGGTGTCAGAGTAATATAACAGATGTTTACTCGAAAATGACAAAAAGTTTTCATCGGTGAAAATTTTAAGAATACTTTTACGATGCACATACAATATACGTTTGACACCTTAGTAGAGGCACAGTATAGACAAAAACAGTAGCCCCGCTCTATAGCATTTTTTTGTTTTATTACGCATGTGATTAGCATATTGTAGCCAGTCAATTGCTTTTCGTGGCTAGTAGGAAGGCAGAGATGGCTAGCTGCAGCCAGTAATCTAATCAAATAAACAGCACCAAGTTGCACAGTGGAGTACCACTGCTGTATGTTTCTATACTGTGGTAGCGGCGTAAGAAATTTGAAAATTGAGGGAGAGGGGAAATCATTTATGATTTCAAAGAACTTGTACAACGGAACATGCATGTATTAATGAGCTCCCCACCTCAAGTTACTGAGTTTGGTATGCTACAGTACTATAGTATCTATTTAATCAACTTTTACATATACAATGGTAGACGTAGTAAAATTCTTATATTTTAATTATATTTATTGTTTTCTTTTACAATCTTTCTGTCATCAAATCATTCGAACGTTCAATCAATCGATTATTGCTTTGCTTTTTCTACAATTTTTCATTCCACCCACGCAAAGCAGATGTTAATTTCTCCCCCCCCCCCGGTCAAATTTGTTAGCTTGACAGCGATCCCCCTCTCCAGCTGCATTACTCTGGTGCTGTTATTGATTGCAGTAATATATGAAATAGTAGAAGAAATTCTAGAAGCATCTGTTCATTTTAGGTATCACACTTATCAGTCCAGGGATACTCAGTGAGTAAATTGTATTTCGTTGAAAGGAAATTAGCGATTTGTGTATGTAATACTGTGTATATAAATCAACATTTGATATGGAACGTTGCTATGGCGATGACTTATAAAAACAAATCACATGAAACGAAGGATGGAGCACAATGACAATAATGAAGGTCTCAAAATTTGCGAGTGAAGGGATTTTGCCAACGTGTGTTGACTGTATTTAATGACACATTAACGTAGTGCGGGCGGTTTGAAATCACTATATCAAGTTGATAACAGGGAATAAATTCTCTTCGTCTTTAACCGTTTGGGAGAAATTAGAAAAGCTGGGCTATTTGTCATAGAAAGTACTTTTGTTGAATTCAAATTCAAAGCGCGAAAATAAAATCACGTGCAGTTTATTGAATGCTACGATTCTCGTCAGTTTTTTCCGTTTTTTAAAATTTCAATCCAGGATGAATTACTGCATGAGCTATGCCTTTCATCCAAAACGCGTATTCAATGACACTGAAAGTTGACTATAGTCAATTGTCCATTCTCGGCGATAATCAGCGCCTCTTTGTTAGCGGAGAAAAGAACCACGAATATAGGTCTTTGTTAAAGAACCACGAATATAGGAAAAAACCAAAGATAGTAATCAAAATTTCTATTTTGTTTATTGGAGAAAAAAAATCACCTGTACTATAAACAAGCTGATTTAAGTCATTTAAATGCAGTTGCACTGAACGCTGATAATTAAAATGTCGACAGCTTTTATGCAAAACAGTCAATATGAAGTCATTAGCTTGGCGTAAGAAAGATTTTCAAAACATGATAAGAAAATGATTAGTCAAAACAAAGGAGAAATAAATTGCATCCATGTTTGTTCATCTGTTGTCTTTCAGGATTTTTTGTGTCGAGCGTATAATGTTTCAAAACAGTTAGTGGAACACCGACAAAATATTGTCATTGAAATTCTCGTTCTATACTTTAGACGTTGTCACATGTCGGCTGAAAGTTAAAAAAGAAGGTCAACATTCTGTATTGCGTTAGTTTGGTTGTAAACTATCGCCGAGCTTCTCTCTGATATACCACTCAAATCCAATTACTGTGTTTAGAAACCATGGTATGTAAGTTTATATTATCATGAGTAAACTTTTTCTTTCGTATTGGAATCAACATATTTGAAGTTGGGCCTAAACTCGAGAAATTATTGTCAGTTGAATAAAGTCGATATTATA